CCCCAAAACCCCAACCCCATGCCAGGTTCATCTTCACAAACATTAGAGTTCCAATCTCCTTGCAACAGCTTGCATGCTTTCCGTAGCTGCTACTAGCCTGTTAAATTTACACTGTCAATTCCTGAAAACACATTATCAAATTCATAGATTTGAAACTACTATCTGGAACTTGAAGCTTCAAAAGAGAAATGTCAATCGACCCAGTATTTCTTATGTACAATTCAAGCATGGTTGGTTTTGTCCTCCCAGCTATAGGACTCTCATACCTATGAGGGCCAAAATATGGTTTTCTTTTTTTGGCTCTTTTGGAGGCAATTTGGAGGTTAGTTTGTTGGTGAAAAAGAGAGGTTGAGCTGTTTCTCTTCTCCCACTTTTTATTTTCTTTTTCTAGGGGAGGATAGGGGATCGAATTTGGGGATGAGGAGGTGACAAGGAGTGGTGGCTGTTGTCCAAACTGTGTCTGTCTTGCTGAGACTCCAATGCAACTGTTCTTGATAAAGTAATAAAGGGATTTTCATGTGTAAGTCAGCCCACAGATAAACTGTCCCCAAAAAAGGGTTATCCACCAGAGGTAGTTTAAAATTTAAGCAGCCAAGGTAAGTATACTTTGTCAGTCATTTAATTCTAACTCATTTAATTCTAACTGAACAACCATTCCTAAAGAATTGCCAATTTTATATGATACTTGAAGATGAAAATAGAAGGAAGATACAGGGATACTGAGGAGAGAACAATTAAATTCAACTGTACTTTTTCCACGATCATTTGTTCTTGATAACGTTATTGAATCTCTATTGCTGCATAAGTGGTGTTTGTTTCACATCTGAGCCTATTCTAACTTAACGAGTGTTTCTAGTTGAATTGTAGATCATCAAACAGTGTCATCTTTTGTTTTCAGATTTTTCAATCAAAATTGGTGGCTGATAGTATATTCATGTAGTTTCTAAATTTCATATGTTTCAGGTTAGCCAATATTGGATTTGTTTGGAGGAGTGGGGGAGGGGTTATTGTTGTTGGTCATGTTGAAATCTTTTCTATTTTATCTTAGAGCCCGTTTGGACATAAGAAATTCACTTTTTTAAAATTTTCACTTTTTTTTCGAAATCAGTGTTTGGTCATTTTGGTCATAAAATTTTCAATTTTCACTTGAAGATGCATTTTGGAATTTTTTGAAAATTTGAAAAACTCCAAAAATCTGTTTTTCAAAATTTTCAGTCAGATCACTCACAAAACTTCAAAAACAACCCAAAAATCATGTCCAAACACAACTCTAATTTTCAAATACCGTTTTCACTTGAAAAAAAATTTCACTTTTTTTTTGGAATTTTACAATTCTTATATCCAAAGGCCCACTTAGTTTCTTCTCATGATATATTTCTGCCTTTCACATTAGGGTTTTTGGGATGTGGAGACGAATCGCGATGAACCAGTTGGAGGCTGCTGTTTGAAGGTGTACGTAAATGTGGCCTTTTCAAAGAAAACCATGTTTAGAGGTGCACATGCTTCTTTATTGCTCATATATACCTTCTTCAAGTTTGACTTGCTGTAATTGTCAAAAGAAACAGCAAGTGGCTTCTCTTTTCTCAAGAAGGAACTGCAAGTGTGATCCTACTGCTTTTAAGAGGCATTGAAATCTGGGCTAGAATATCATGTTTTGTTTTTCTTTCTTCTTGTATGCAGGGCTTTCCGCCAACTCGTCAATAATTTATTACTAACATAAAGTAATTTACCTTCTCATTATTGAAAGAGTTACGCTTTTGGTGATAGATTAATCAAATGCTTCTATGTGCTATTATCCTCCTTTATTCAAAGGGCTTCTTATTTATAACTCTTATTTGGCTTGTAAGTAAACGTCGATGGGAGCACGGCTCCCACGGGATGATGATGAGAATATAAATCAATTAAGAGACCGAAAAATGCAAAAAACAGCTACTGCTATCATTACAATATTAAAGTAAAAGTAACTAAACTCAACGGACACCTATCTAGCAATTGCACAGAACATGGTCAATTGTGGCACAATTACTTCAATTATTTTAGACCATTCGATCCAAAAAGTTGCTGTTGCTGCTTTTGCCATATCGTGGGGCTCTCCAGCTCTAGGAAGTTTGTGTCTAGGATCTGGTAATTTGCGATTACTTCTTTTGAACCTGTGCTTTAGAGGGAATATCACTTTAGTATCAGGATCTGGTTCTTTGTTTTCTAGAAGGAAAAAATGGGTTCCTTTCACTTCGGGTTCTTTTGTTGTAATCAACTATGATAGAGCTGGATAAACAAGATAAGGATTGCCTGCTCCTCAATGCTTGATAGGTTAATCAAATGCTTCGATGTGCTTAGTACACTTTTGATGATTGATTAATCAAAATGTTTCACCACTGATGCTACATGGGGCTTATCCACTCATATTCGATTTCTTTGCTTGTCCTGATTAGGGTTGTCAAATAGGATGGATTGGGCTACATTTGGACAGGTCAAAATGGGTTGAATCAAATAAACGGGCTGGGCTATAACTTGCTCAATGTTTGTTTGGGTTGAAAGGGGCGAGTCAATTTGGGCTAAGCAGTGGGTTATTGACCCAACCAGCCCAACTCAAAAACTTTTTCCATCTGTTTGTTTGTTCTTTTATAATCAGTTTAATAATCATATCAAAATAATAAAATATTTTTCTTTGTTTATTATGACTATTTTAAACAAACTGAACTCAAAAAAAATATCTTTTTGTGTTTTGATAAGTTTTCTTATAGATCAATTTGGGCTGCATTATGCTGCCCAAGCTTTTAGATGGACTAACTTGGGTGTGCCAAAATGACCTGCCAATAAATATATGCCAAGCCCAACCCGCCCATTCAACACCCCAGTTCTGATGTTGACTGTGAAATATTGAGCAAATCTACATGCCATTTTTTTGAGAATTAATATGCATAACCATTTGCTAGTGCTCTTCCTTCAACTGAGCCTCAGTTATGTTTGATCAATCATTTTTTAGCTAGTAATTTCCTGGAGTTTATCTTTTAAGTTGCTGGTGATTATCCATTGGCAGTCATTATGAGCATCTATGTTCTTTGTTTTTCGCACAACCAGGGGTTTGACAGTTGTTTTATGTTAAGATGAAACCTTCGATAGATGAAGCATGAAACTTAAGATTTCGGAAAATTCCTTTATATATTCTGATATTGACTGTAAGACTGTGAAGCCACGGCACAGCTATTTGCTGGTGCTCTTCCTTCCACCCAGCCTTAGTTGTGTTCCATCAAATCATGTCCTATCTACTATTACCAGCTGCATATCCTTTAAGTTGTTAGCAATGATCCATTGGCAAGGTATTATGAGGATCAGAGCTATATTTTTTGTTGCCCAAGTTGGAGTTTAAAGAGAGTTTATATAAATAATCCTCACATATATGTAGAGATATTGAAGAGTTTTGGTTTGGTAGGGTCTTTGAAGTGTGTTTCCATGTCTTCAAAGTTGACATGATTGAAAATAGAGAGAATTTTTCACCACATCCACATGGCATGACCTGACATGTTAGTAAATACAGAAAGAAGTTTTTCACCAAAGGCATGATATGTGCAGCACTTTTTGTGCATGTGTCTTGATATAACAAATTTTGAGCAAGATGACAACAACAGAAAAAAGTGGTCCTACTTAGGATTTGATGTGCACTTTAGTGTCTCCTTTTTAGTTTCAATGCTTAAGCTGTTATGGGAAAAAGGTGGAAAAGGTAACTTATGATGCTCACCTTACAAAAATATCTGTTTGGCTGCTAAATGCTTGGAGGTCTCTGCAGGGAAGATAGTGCAGTCTACTGTTGATGAATGTCGAGACGTGTATGCCATATGGATTGCCCTTGTATTTTCCTCATCCTTTCCGGTTTCTTCTATTTTCAGTTTGCAGGTATTTCAAGGCTGTTTAAGAGATTGATGTGGGTTTTTATTTCAGGCACATGAACTGTTGAAGCAAAAGAAGTTAGAGAAGGAAGAAGGTAGTGCTTCTGGGAACCTCTTGTATCATACCTTTGTCTGTAACAACTGGCATCTGCTGTTTTATCTGTTGTAGTATATGTTCTTTGATTCCAGGCTCACATTATCTGATTAAATTATTTTTTATATCAGCTGGTGGTTATGCTGCTAATGTGGTAACAAGTGCTCAGCAGAAAGAAAGTTCTGAACATGTGGAAATATTAGATGGGGCAAGTGATGAAGTTAGATCACAAACACTGCCACTCAACCTGCAAGCTGCTGATTCCCTGCGGGGTAGTTGTAGCAGTACCGTGTCTGTTACTTCCTTGTGTAGAAATCTCATGCTTAAGTGTTCATCATCTTTCAAATCTCAAAGCCAGTTTTCCATTCTTATAGTGATCACCATTGCTGTGATCCTGCTTTTAATGCAGGTATGTTTCTCAATTTGCGCCTTCCATCTGAGATTACATTTAACTAATTTGCTACCACAAATTGTTCATCGTATTATGTTGTGAGCAAGGAAGGTAAACTGCTTTGGCCGTGTGATCATGCAGTTGCTGATTTTCATGCATTTTTCTGTTAATTGTTAGTGTCAAAAAGTAGATACTGGAGAATTTGTCAACTGCAGGTTGTAAGCTTATTTTTGGTCCGACTCTATTTCCCTGATTTTGGGGTTAGTGTTGTGATATTCTCTGTAAACTATTCTTGGTACAGTGGAATTCACCTTTCGATGTCCAAGATAGCAATGCAAACACTCCCTCCTACCATTATAATTGACTTGGGTTGACCTAAGGTTTGAATGGCTTCTTGTATTGGTTTATTTGAGGAGATCAAAATAATAATTTGAAGTGTGAGGAAGTGTACAAATTTGTTGGAAAGAGCCAAATCAATTTTGAAGTAATAACAAGTAGCGTACATTCATATTTGTTTGAATAGAAGGGGGAAAAGTTAGAACAAAGTAAGATTGACATCATAGTATTGGCGAATTAAGGTAGAAACTGGGTTAGTAAATTGTGACAAGAGAGGGAATGTAATTAGCTGCATGTTACAAGAGTTGGCTGACTTTCGGTGGTAGAAATAGGTTAGGGCTACATTTTGAAGGTAATGATATGCTGATATTCTAGTATGTTTGCTTTTTCCATCTTGTTTAAATGTAGGAAAATGCTGTCCTTGTCCACTTTGTTTTGATGCACGTGGAACATGCTTTGTATTTATCTCTCCTACGAGATGTACATCATCTGATCCTGGCACTACTTCTCTTTTTCATTATATGCCTTGTGGAAAACAAGTCAACATTACACCCTCACCTGCAACTAATTTGCGAGTTTCAGCCCAGTCTGGCTTTTGTTTGACTCTGTCAATTTTGTTCTCTGCTCTAATTTGTTTGTTGCTTTGTATATGTGATGCATTAATATTCTACTGTGTATGACATTATGACTTAATTTGTTTTCACATATGGTGGTCCACAACAGATCGACCAGTGAATATTGCTGTCAGAACTTTCTTGCAAACTGAGGTGAAAGATAAATTTTGCTGTCTAATCTTTTTGTGTTATCAAACTTCATTTGCAGATGAGCATACTCGTGTTATTAGGTAGACCTCAGCACGTCCACGTGATACCTCAAGGGGACTGCACAGGTAGCATGTATCGACTGGGAGATAGGGGTATAGACACATTAGCTTTTCTGGATAAACAGATTAGTCATCTCAAAGAGGAGATGGTTATGGTCGAAACACTGCTCGGCAAAATGCAGCAGGAGCATACACTTCTAAAGACGAAATTAAAAGAGTTTGAGCATCTACGGATGCACCAAAAAGGATAAACGAGCTGTGTACATAGATGCTGCTGCTTCTTTTCTTCCCTTCCTAATTATCTTCTTTTGGGTGAAAGGCTTGTATGTTGGTACATTTTTCTGATTTTTTGACATTCATGTACATTTTGAATTACATGGTTGCACTATCTACATGAAAGAGTAAAACAAAGTTACTGGACTGTTTATATAATATACGAGCGCCCCAAGAGCTTTTATATATACACACACATAATGATTAGAATAATTATGGAAATAGAATATACTTGTGTATAATATGTGATGCAAAATATATATGCTCAATACTCTTCCAACTAGAGCTGTCAATATGGCCAGCAATTGACAGGTTACCTTTTTGGTGGGCCTTATAATGGTCAGTCCACCCCAGTCCTATGTGGGATGTGGGCCCCCACGGATCGGCCCATTCATTTTTAAATATATGATTTTATATATTTTTTTTTTAAGTGCTAACCTAAAAAAAGATAAATACTTAAAGTTAAAACATATCTTATTGGAAAAATTTCACAAAACTTAATAACTTTTTATACTGTTTCAATATATCAAAATAAATACTAAAAGTAAAAGACAAGACTATATTTCATTCACTAAAAGTCAAAACTCAAAACAAACTATTCAAGAGAACGTCCATGATGCTTATGGGATATCCAACACATCATCTTCATCAAACACATTTGAATCCGTTTGTGACAAAGTTGTCTTAACATCTTCACTTTCATCTACATCTATAATTCATATGCAATACTAATTAGTTAAATATTAAGAGTAATCAAATTTTAAAAACTAAAAATATTTACATTCACATAAAAAAATATTACCAGTTTGAGAAAAATCGTGCAGCCAATTTTAAGTAGTAACAAGTGTTTGGACATTTTCATGATGGATGCAACTTCTACTTGGTAAGAACACGCCCACCAATGCTAAATGTTGATTCTGATGCTACAGTGTCATATATTTTATATATTTAAATAAATATTTTTATTAGGCCCACGGGCCGGACCAACCCAGCATCAGTCAAGCCTCACAGGCCACGGACCTACTCGGGTCGGGCTTAAAAGACTCGTTTTTAAATGGGTTCCAAAAATTCTAGCCCAACCCTACTAAATCACGGGATGGGATGGGCTAGCCCAACAGACCAAGCCCATATTGACAGCTCTACCTCCAACATCTAGCTAGTATTTAGGCATCTAAATTACACAAACTCGGTTTGGAAGATATCAAGCACAACTTCGTTACAGATATATAATATGCAAATTGAGAGTATGAAAGCATTAAAATATTTAAAAGGGATCTTTACACAAATCACATATTGTAGGGGGGAATCAATTCTGCACATTACTTATTATAGGCATGAATAGTGTATATCGATGAGTATTGGAGTAGTGTATATTAAAAGCTCTCAGGGTATATTACTGAAGTAATTGTCTTTTACTATGACCCCTAGAGCCTAAACTTAGCTTAGATTAACTTTGTCCTGTTTTTTTTATCATTATAAGCATTAGAGTTATGCAACCATATATGTCGCAAGCTGTGCCTTCTTCCTTTCCCATTTTCGTGCATGCTTTATACGCAGGTGACTACATTAATTTGTAGCATTGATAATAAGGGAAGTCCCGAAACTTAGTTATCATAGCAATTATGATATGATAACATGAAAATAGAGTAAATACCTGAAATATAAAATGTAAGAACATAGAGTAGTTTACAAGAGGTATTAATATAGTAGTTTTATATATTTTACTTTTTAAAATAAATGAAAAATAGCTCAAGGAGGGCTTGCTTTCTAATCTCGATGTGTTAAAAGGGTTAAATACTGAAATATACCTCATTATGTACAATAGTGTCGGATGATTTTCATTTTAGTTTGAATTAAATCTTATAATTCATAATAAATGAGGTCATTTTTGACATCTTGAAACTTCTGCTAATGACTATCTCACTATGGGTGTTAACTTTGAGGGCAAGATTAGCTGTTGGTTCTATTCAAAAAGGTGAATTTCCGGAATTTAAAATTTTAAGGGAGTTATAGGAAAATTTCACAATTATATTATCTTAAAATAAAGTGATCAAGGTATTCTCAATATTTTGAGAATATGAGGAGCAAAAGATTCATAAAGCATAATAAAGCTTTGATATTCAAAAGAAAGCTAAACGAAAATAAGAGATGTATCGAATATCGACTTTAACAAATATTTTAGTTGTTGAGAAAGAAAAAACATGTTGGAGTCCAATATGAAACTGGCTAGGCTTAGAGACATGTAAATACACTTATAAGATAGTTACATATTTTTCACGAGCAATAATAATAATAATAATAATAATAATAATAATAATAATAATAATATTCCAATATCCAACTAAGCCACACAATAGAGCATTTAAGAATATTTCTCTCAACTATAACAATAACATATCTTAATTATGATAATAATAGGCATAAGTACAAGATATTTGCCTTGATAGCCTAGCAGTTTAATGGAAGATTAATTTTAGATTGTTCTCAATATCTAAATGAGCATTGCTTTGTTGCCTTCTACAGTTCTACTTAATACATGTCCAAAGTTAAATTAATGAGTGTTCATTTTGAATTGTAAAACTATCTCCATTCATCCCAAAGGAGTAATTAACCTTTTTTTCTTGATAAATTAACATTTTTTGAGGGACTAAATTTGTCCTGAAAATAAAATATATTTGTTTTCTTTTTTATTTTAAAAATGGGGACCCATATATTAGTGTACAAAAGTAAACAACGCCCACCTTTGGCACCGTCTCTGGTAAGGGGAAGATGGCGGAAGAAGAAGTAGTGGGAGAAGTAGAAGCAGTAGAAGCAGTATACCGCGATGATTGTTTACTCCTTCAAACTTATCCTCCTTCTTTTCATCTCCATATCAGACCTCGTACCGCCGATGACTCTTCTCAACAGGTTCCCTCTCTTCCCCGCTTTCTTTCCTTATTGTGTGTGTGTGTGTGTGTGTTGTGTTTTTAATTATTTTAACAAGGAATATTGGCTTCTTGAAACCCCTGATTGATCTTTCTGCTGAAATCTTTATATTTAGCGCGTGTATGATTGTAGTATAATTGTGTGGTGTTGTAGGATTTGGGGCTAATTAATTACCTGAATGTGAAGAATTCAGCTTGGGATGTCTGTTTAGAGAATTATGAGTTGGGGGAAGCGGAAAAGATTCTTTTTTTTTTAATGAATCTGATGGCTAATTTGTTATACGAACATTAGGAGAATGACACCCTAAAAGCTAGCTATTGAGTGGAGAGCTCAATGTACCTCAAATTGAAATCTGGTAGTTCTCTATTTGTACATGTCATCCTTGCGTAGTGGCATTGTGAATCTTCTCTGTACCGTTCCCTCCAATTTTATTGCCTTGATTGATACCTATGCTGAAGTGTCACGGGAAAGTGCTGAGCTTGAGCTTCAAGTAACTCCAGGACTTAAGCACGCTTCAAATAAAGCCTTTCACAACACTACGACAACACTACACTTTTATCCCAAGAGAGTTGGAGTCAATTATATGAATCATCGCTGAACATTTCGCTCCATTTAAGCTTGCTATAGACAAGCCTTTGACAACAATGCTCTTATGAAATTTGCCTAGATCGAAAGCTTAAAGCATTAGCAAAATTCTGTCTGTTTAGTCACAATTTGGCGGGTGTAGGAAAGTGTAGATGCGGAGTCTCATAGAGATAAAAAGGGTAGCCGGGTGCACTAAGCTCCCGCTATGCTTGGGGTCCGGGGAAGGACCGGACCACAAGAGTCTATTGTATGCAGCCTTACCCTGCATTTCTGCTAGAGGCTGTTTCCACGGCTCGAACCTGTGACCTCCTGGTCACATGGCAACAACTCTACCAGTTACGTCAAGGCTCCCCTTCGGAGTCTCATAGAGAGATTGATAGAAGAATAATGTTCTATACAGATGATATACACATTATGCATGCAGTGACTAAGAGGGAACTGGTTTCGGAGTAGTTCGTGTTTCCTAAGGCTGTCATTATTTGCTGCTATTTTCAAATGAATCTGATAAAGTGTCATTATACTTTACAGTTCTTTTTGTTCTTTGATTTTCTGGTTACTTTCCTATTGTTTTATGTTGTATGTTGCTATAGACTATAAAGAATAGTTTCATTTTTTCTTTCTACTGTCTTGTAGTTTGTGGAAGCAATCATAGGAATCCAGGCTGGTCCAAAGGTACTCTGTCACTGTGATTACTTTTCTTTTTGGGGTTATTGATTATCATTTGGTTCTTTTGTTGTCTAATTCATTCGCGCTTACCTTAGTGAATTTCATGTCCATTTTCATCTGATAGCTTTGTGCAGTCCGCCCACACTTGCGTCCCATTTCATCTCGTATTTAACTAGTTCATGTGATAGCCATACTTGTATGATTAGACAGGTTTCACATTTCTTTCCTGCACTGATATAATTATTTTGGCAGTATCCTGACGAGCCACCAGCTATTAGAATTGTTGATTCCAAGGGCCTTGATGAACAAAGGCAAAAACAATTGATAAGTTGTCTTTCAGCAAGGGCTTGTGAACTGTCCTCGTGTCTAATGCTTGTAGCACTTTGCGAGGTAACCATTGCACTGTCCAGATCCAGTTCTGTGATTGATGACAATCCTGATTAGAATACTCTCTTTTATTAAAACCTAGCTGCATAATCTCAAGACTTGCATTATGATGAATAACTATTACTTTGGATCTTTGTCCTGAAATTAAGTCAAAAGGAACAGGTTTTATAATTTACCTAAAGAAGAGAAACTCCCAGGGTTTTGGTTCAGTCATAAGAAAGTATTACCATGGTGTGTGGGTTGGGCTCACACCGCGAGTTCAAATTCTTCCACTGACAGGAGGTCTGGTAGTTAAGTGGTAATTCAAAGAATTGTTTGTGTCATTTATATATAATATAGATTTATGTTAGAAACTTGAGCTTTACAGGTATTTTAACTTGGTTTAGCGGCAGGGTGCTCTGGTTCTTTCTGAAAGCAAGTCTGATAGTTAAGTGGGACTTTTTATGGGCTGGAATTGGACTATCTACTTGTCAAACTATTGAGTAAAACTCTTATTGATTGATTGTGTCATGGACTCACATTTATGAGCTAAACAACTAAGACAATCTGTTGCTAAATAGGCCAAATTATTATTAGAATTTCAGAAGGGGGCTTAATTTCCAGAAAGCTGATGCCTCTGAATGTA